TATCATGCTCAGTCCCCACCAGGATTTCAGCACTTCCTCTTTGTTACGTTCCCCTTGATCCTGCCCTACCAGGTCTCCCACACCCACCTCCCCATTACTAATCTATATAAATAACAATTACATAAGTGTAGCCACAAAGTATATAATTTTTTTAAACATGAGAAATTGTGTGGGTTTTTTGTTTGCTTGTTTTGCCTATTCAAATGTTAGCCTTAAAATTTTTAATCCTAAAATGTTTTTTGTTTTCTTTTTATTAATTAGGCAAAACACATTTCTGGTCCTGAGAGATTTCCATGGGCTTGTTCAAGTTATCATTCCCCAGGATGAGGTAATAAAAGGTTTCTTACTAGTATATGAAAACCTCTCTGGTGCTGTGGCTAGAGAAAGCTAAGTATGTTTGATAGTTTTAAAGTCAAAAGTTTGTCCTTTTTTAGATCATCTTACTGGGTAAAAGTTTGTTCTTAATGAAAGTCACCATAAGCAACATTAAGACAAATGCCGTTCAGGAAGGAGAGCTAGAACGGCTGCAAGACGGGCATCTAATCATTTCACTGAATTGCACATGTAGAAGATGTTGCATTTGTATGGGTTTTGCTTGGTATAGTCTCTATAACAATAATAAATGATTTTAAAAAGAAAAACAAATGACAAACTGGAGCAAGGAGTGGGAATGCACCTCCTATCACAGACAATGGACTAATTCCTTTGAGGCCAAAAAAAAAGAAAGAAATCCAGTGGCCTGGTAAAATCTGAATTTAGAATCTGAAGATGAAATTTACAGATAAGGAAGTACAAAGGACTTCTTGTTAGGGGCCATCAAGTTGGTTCCAACTCATAGCTAGCCCCTGGAGAACAGACCGGGACAGCGCCTGCTCCTGCACCATCCTCACACTTGTTGCTGTCAGCGCCCATTGTTGGAGCCACTGTCTATCCCTCCTGTGCAGGTGCTTCCTCCTTGTCACTGCCTCTCTACCGAGCCTGACGTCCTTCTCGGGGACTGGCCCTCCTGACAGCATGTCCATGTATAGGTTCCGCATGAGCACAATGGAAGTGTTCTGCAATTCCCATTCTTCTCAAGGCTATCTATAGTTTGCTGTGATCCACACAATCAAATGCCTTGAGTCAATAAAACCCAAGTAAGCATCTTTCTGGTATTCTCTGCTTTCAGCCAAGAACGATGTGATGCCTGCAATCATCTCCCTGTTCCACATCCTCTTCTGAATCTGGCCTGAGTTTTGGCAGCTCCTTGTCAATGTACTGCTGCAACTGTTTTTTAATGTTCTGCAGCAAATTTTACTTGCATGTGATATCAATAATGTTGTTCTATAATTTTCACATTCTTTTGGGTCACCTATCTCTTTGGAATGACTCTTCCAGTCAACTCTCTTCCAAATTTCTTGACATAGATGAGTGCTCAGTTTGTTGAAACATTTCACTCGTTATTCCCTCATTCCTGTAGTCTTGCTTTTGGTTAATGCCTTCGGCGCAGCTTGGACTTCTTCCTTCAGTACCATTTGCTCTTGATTATATGCTTTCTCTTGAAATGATGGAACTTTTGGGTACAGTGACCGACCCTGTATATTCTCCCCATCTTCTTTTGATGCTTCCTGCATTGTTCAATATTTTGCCATGGAAGCTTTCAATATTGCAACTCAAGGCTTGATTGTGTGTGTGTGTGTGTGTGTGTGTGTGTGTGTGTGTGTGTGTGTTCAGTTGAAGATATGCTGAGTGTTCTTCCTTTGTAGTTGTCTAACTCTAGGTCTTTGCACGTTTCATTATAATATTTTACTTTGGCTTCTCGAACTGCCCTTTGAAATGTTCATTCAGCTCTTTTACTTCATCATTCAAATGGCTTGTAGACATGAAAATATGCCCAACCTAACATAAGTGGAGAAATGTGAATTTAAGCTACACTGGATTGCTGTTTTTAACACATTGGATTGACAGTGTGCTGTGTCTGGGAAAGCGGGTGCTTGTACATTCCTCAGCAGTATAAACTGACAGCCCTCTGTGGAGGACAGTTTGGCATTATCAAATTGGTCCATTAGTTCTGCTTTTAGTAAACCATCCGAGAATTTTCTTACAATTAACTTGCCTAACCTTCAACCAAAAAATCCTACCAAACTCACTGCCATTGAGTCAATACCAACTCATAGGACAGGATAGAGCTGCCCCTCTGAGTTGCCGAAACTGTAACTTTTTATGGGAATAGAGAGCCCTTTCTCCCTCGGAGCAACTGCTGGTTTCGAACTACAGACCTTGTGGTTAGCAGCCCAATGTATAACTGCTACCCTAAGGACATGAGTATACAAGGGCTATTCATTACAGGCTGGTTTGTAATAGCAGGGAAAATGGAAACAAATATATGTTCTCCCCTAAGTGACTGGTTTAAAAGTAAATGCACAGCCTTACTTTTAAAAAATAGTTCTTTAAATTCTAATGTGGAAAAAAGTCCCAGGCATATTAGTAAAAGGAAAAACCCGGACACAGAAGAGCATGTAGAGGACTGTCATCGGTTTAATAGAGTGAGGGAAAGACCTGACTATGGCATCGTCAAAAGACTTGAGGGAAATCCCATTTATCTTTTTATTCTGTTTTCCTGTAACCTTTTTGATGCCCCCTGGTATGTACACTGTGTGTATTTGCTTGCTTATAAATGTTATAAAATATCCCTGGAAGGATAATAAGGATCTGGTAACATTGAACTGAGGGGCTGGAGGTAGACTTTCCCCTGTATGCACTTTTATACTCATGGAATTGTGCGCCATGAAGGTATTACTCCCTCAAACAATAATTGCAATTAAAATGAAATAAAATAGATCTCTCCCATCATTGGAGCAAAAAAGGAAGAAAGAGTGAGGAACAGAGGAAATGGAATCATTTATGTGAAATTAGGGGGGCAGTGGGTTTAGGTTAAAGGGGAGGAACAACTCGAAAAAAGACTCAGATGAGCAACACAACGTGAAGGGTAAGAACGCACATGTAGAAACTTGAAGTGACACATGTTTGGGCTATGTGTTTCCTCAACAATAACGGTAACCAACAATTATCTATGTGAGCTCAAACTGAACACCTGAAAGGTTGGATTGGAAATTTGCAAAGTGGTGGGTTTAAAATAATGGTGTGCAAACCATTTGAACCAGGAAAGCAAGCATGGTAGCTTTTGAAGCAAGCTAACAGTGTCATTGACTTGTACAAATAGAAATAGTTCAAATGATGTATCTTCAGCTTTGTGCCCTTCACCAAAATCGCTAATGATAATTTAAAGAACTTTCCTGATGCTTCTTGGGTAACTGTTTTCTATTGTGGTGATTTCTACATATTCTTGTAGGCCTAGAAAAGATAGAATTTAGTCAGCTCTTAGTGTTTGAAGTTGGTCAGAGCCTGAACTACCTTGCAGGGCTCCGGATGCAGAAGTGAGCTTGGCTTACCCACCATGGCTCTTCTCAGGCCGCAGTCCATTGTGACTCCTGGTCTTAACTGCCCTCCAGGTAATCCTAGAGACGGACCGTTGTCTGCGACTTGTGAGCCTCGAGTCATGCTTATTTTTCCTTACGGAAAAAAATGTTAAACTCTTAATTCATTGCTTTACTTGCTGTATGTCAATGGATCAAGATGAGTGATGTTCAGAACAAAAAATCATATCATGTGAATGAGGGGGAGCGCGGAGTGGAAACCCAAAGCCTATCTGTAGACAATTGGATATCCCCTTACAGAAGGGTCACAAGGAAGAGACGAGCCAGTCAGGGTGCAATATAGCACGATGAAACACACAACTTTCTTCTAGTTCGTTAATGCTCCCTGCCCCTCCCCCCCATCTACTATCATGACCCCAATTGTACCTTACAAATCGGCTAGACCAGAGCATGTACACTGGTACAGATGAGAGCTGGTAACACAGGGAATCCAGGACAGATAAACCCCTCAGGATCAATAATGAGAGTAGCGATACCAGGAGGGGGAGGGGAAGGGGAAGGGGTGTGTGTTGGGGGTGTGGAACAGGGAACCGATCACAATGATCTACATATAACCTTTTCCCAGGGAAATGGACAACAGAAAAGTGGGTGAAGGGAGACAGCAGTTGGTGTAAGACATGAAAAAAAAAAATTATCATGGGAGGGGAGGGGGGAAATGAGCTGATACCCATGGCTCAAGTAGAAAGAAAGTGTTTTGGAAAGGGGGAACTGATTACAAGGTCTACACATAACCTCCTCCCAGGGGGACGGACAACAGAAAAGTGGGTTAAGGAAGATGTCTGATGGTGTAAGATATGACAAAATAATAATTTATAAATTATCGAGCGTGCATGGGGGAGGGGGAAAATGAGCTGATACCAGGGCTCAAGTAGAAAGCAAATGTTTTGAGAATGATGATGGCAATGAATGTACAAATGTGCTTGACACAATTGATGTACGTATGAATTATGATAAGAGTTGTATGAGCCCCTAATAAAATGATTTAAAAAAAGAAAATGATGGCAACAAATGTACAGATGTGCTTAACACAATGGATGGATGGATGGATTGTGATAAGTGCTGTATGAGCCGCCAATAAAATGATTTTTTTTTTTAAATTAGGGATGTAATTTACAAATTCTGTAATAAAGCCATCAGGGCAGCCCTGGCATTTATAGCAATGAAGTCACAAATAGTAAAGGTTTTCTGAACTATGCATGATAGTTGCTACTGTTCTCTTAAGCTCATTTGTTTCTTGGAATTGATCCCCCTCCTGTTTTGTAGTCCGCTGCTTCAGTGAGGAAGATACTATGTGAAGCCCCTGTGGAATCAGTGGTGCAAGTGTCTGGGACAGTCATTTCCCGACCTCCAGGACAAGAGAATCCAGTTAGTATTCAAGAAAGTGTCTCTAACTCTCACCCACGTGCGTTTGCGGTGTGTGTGCACATTCAGGCAACATCGACTGGGCACCTGTTAGACACGAAAGCTCTGTAAGTTCTACAGATGAACTTAGAGGTGTTAAAATTTTCACTACGACACAGACACCCTTTGTAAATATGTGTGTCAAGATATTTGCTGAGGAGCACATCAGCCACGAATGTGCATAAAACCACCATCGAGTGGATTCTGACTCAGAGCGACCCCAGACAATGACTGTTTATGGAAACAGACAGCTTGCTATTCAGTCGTCCCATGCTTACCCAACAGCACTACCAGGCTCCTCAATGTGGGCGGGAATATCAAAATCATGGGCAGATATTTGTGCTTAAGAGGTAGTGTCTCATAAACACCCTTATATTGTACATCTGCAGATCAGAAAGAACATAAAAGTGCTTTGGGTACACGCCATGATGCTTGGTTTTTGTTGTTTGTTTATTAATATCTCTCTCTCTTTCACTCTCAGAAAATGCCAACAGGTGAGATTGAAATCAAAGTTAAAACAGCTGAACTTCTGAATTCCTGCAAGAAGCTGCCCTTTGAAATTAAGGACTTTGTAAAGGTGGTGCCACCTGTTACTAATAAAATAGAATATTTAGAAAGAGTTGACACTATCACTAACATGTTTCCAGTCTTACTTAAACAGTTTAACTGCTACAAATTGAGCATTTTGTTAGGGGTGGTAGTTCCTAAACATTCAGCTTTATTTATTTATTTTCTGACAGGCTGAAGGGTTTGATTGTTCTTAAAATCTTGAGTGTTAGATTATTCATGTGCTTTTGTTGTTTATTGTATAATATCATGAAAGGAAATATATATAAGACAGCTACAGTTTTTGAAAATTCATACTCTGTATCTAAAAATATCTTTTGGGTGTTCTGTAAAAGTATGTAAGCAGCAGCAAAACTGAAAGCTAAGTTATCGCCCATTTTTAGACCTTGGTTTTTTTTCTCTTAAACGTAAGAAAGGGTATTAAAATGAGTGGGGGAAGAAAAAACGAAGTATGTAAGCATAAACTCTTTCAATTTGTTTAGAAAACAGAGTCTCTTCGTCTGCAGTACCGCTACTTAGACTTGCGCAGTTTCCGAATGCAGCATAACCTGCGGCTGAGGTCCCAGATGGTCATGAACATGCGGGAATACCTTTGCAATCTGCATGGTAAGGGCGGTGCCTGGAGTGTGCTTCTGCATTTGCCGCATCTCTTCTATTCACATACGTACTCTCCTTAGCAAGGCTGGGTAAGCTGTTGCCAGCAGCCTCGAATAACCTGAGTGCATTAGGTGCTTTATGAGAAATGGTTCGTTTCCAGGATGTTGTGTCCCAGGACATATTAAAATAACTAATATCCAAGTTTTAGATAACCCTTTTAAAGGAGATAGCGCCAGTTACGTTTTGTTATGCACCAGTGATTATCTCATTTCCTGTCACTGTTGAAGACAGGAGAGCCTTTTGATTATTTCCTCTAGCTTTTCTTAATCTTTCTCAGATCTGTACATCACATATTGGCAGTGCAGAAATACATCGATTAAACTAAACACATCAATAACTTCTGTCTTGTTCTGCTATATTTGTTTCAGATTTTCTGTGTTGTTTCATTTTTGGTTTTGCTATACCAGCAGAATCTATAGAATACCAGAATAGTGCAGCATTGACAAGATATCAATGAGTATTAAAATTAATTCATGTCATAAAGTATCAACCTTACCAACAAAATTGTATTTTTTGAAAATCCTCAGCTGGCTTGCCCTTTTTGGAAACCAGCACCAAGAGGCATGGTAACTTATTTCAACCAAAATTACTAATTAATTATAGACTCTAGACATTGTTTGTTAGACTCCAAATTCTTAACGACTCGATTCTGATGATTCCCCCCCCCCGTTTTTTTTTTTTTTTTTTTTAAGGGTTTGTAGATATTGAAACGCCAACATTATTTAAGAAGACTCCAGGGGTATGTATAGTCCTTAAGTAAACTCAAACCAAACTCACTGCTACCGAGTTGATTCCAACTCCTAGCAATCCTGGGGGTTTCTGAGACCAACTCTTTATGGGAATAAAAAGCCTCATCTTTCTCCTGCAAAACAGTTGGTGGTTTCAAACTGCTGACCTGTGGTTCTCAGCCCAATGTATAACCACTACACCACCAGGGCTTCTTTAGCCCTTAAATTTGTCTCTAAATTAGTCTGCTAATAATCCCTATTTGTTATGATGCTTGGTCATTTTTCCTTTATGTTTACTTGGCTTCGGGATATTTACATTAGGGAGCTTTCCCTAAAAGTTGAGAAAATTATGTACATTAATATTTTGAGTCTGAATCCTTTTGTTTTACACGAGTTTTCTTGAGAGCTTAATAGATGCAAACCTTTAATGCATTGTTAGATTATTAAGATCTGATGATATTAAGCATTGATATTTACTCTTGCTTATTGAATCTGTGGATTTATAAAACTAGAGTTCAATTTAGAAAAGCAGAAGTTATTTGAATAGAAAATAATGTACAAAATCTTTTTATCTTGTAACAGATTTGGGAATTCAGTTTAACAAGCATACATTTAATACCTACTATATGTAAGTCAGTATTTAAAATCTACTTTTAGGGAATAAAAGATGATCTTTAGTTAATTTCAGTAGTGAACTTACATAACAACTTTTACCAGTCAGTAATACCTTGTTTGCTTTTAACAATGTCTTTTTCTCTCCCTCTCTCATTAAAAGGGTGCAAAAGAATTTGTGGTTCCATCCAGGGAACCTGGAAAATTTTACTCTCTCCCTCAGAGTCCTCAGCAGTTTAAGCAGCTTCTGATGGTTGGTGGTTTGGACAGGTGGGCTTTTGTTTTCCTGTAAACTTTTTCTTGTGAATTGTGTGAAGGTTCAAGTGGGCTTTCTGTATGGTATCTTTTATCAGAAAGGAAGAAGAGAAAAAAAGAAGAAAATAGCAAAAGAGACACAAAAAATTGCCTGACTCTTGAGAAAGTAGATTGATGAGGGCTTCAGAGAATACATGTAAAATACCCCCAAAATTCATATCATTACTTATTAAGTAATATTTGCGGGGTAAAGCTCTATGCTTGTAAATTTGGCAGGAGATTTTAAAAGCAAACCCAAAAACATCAATTCAGTGAGTGAATAATTCTACTAAGGCAAAATAGAATAGAACGCAAAACTGATAGAAAGCAAACTCGAAGTGCATTGAGAGTCTCAAGCTACCAGGAAGGGGTTTGAGATGATCTTAATGGGGGAATATTACAGAAACGTCTCTGAAATGAGAAATAAGTTCTTCTGGCACAGAAATAAGTTCATGCTGGCACACGTCAGCAGTTGATGCAGAGAACTGGAAAAGCATAGCACAAGAAAACAATGTGTTTGTGGATCTGCATTCAGGAGCAGTGAGTGATTCGGTTTGACCAAAGCATAAGAGAACCAGGAGACTTCGAAAGATTCATGGAAAACTGGAATGGAAAGACAATGGAAATTTCTCACAAACTTTTTGAAGCCCCCTGATATAGATAAAGAAACATGAAATATCTTGCATGCCACTCTAATGCATGGCTACCCAAAGGTACTAAAACAGTATGTGGACAGTTAACTCCTCATAGGTCAACCGTGTGTCTGATGAGGTTAAAGCATAAGAATAAGGCAATCCTTTTATGTCCTATAAGTGTAAATTTTTTTCTTCATAACATGCATTGGCATCAATCTTCGGAGAGAAGTGGTGCTCTGTAGAGTCATGACTCAGTTAATGATATCTTTTGATTGTAGATATTTTCAGGTTGCCCGATGTTATCGAGACGAAGGTTCAAGGCCAGACAGACAGCCTGAATTTACTCAGGTACTGTGTTATAATTTGTCTGTTACAGATTCAAGTATTTTCAGAACAAGGGAGGTGACTTAAGTACTTTATTTCTCATCCCATTTTATACATTAGATAGGCAGAGTTTTGTGCCCACTGTATGTATCCTTTTAATAAGACATGTAGTCATCAGCCAAGGAATATCACTGATTCCTATGGTGCTTTAATCATATAATATGAGTCTGGCTAGACCAGAGGATGTACACTGGTACAGATAGGAACTGGAAATACAGGGAATCCAGGGTGGATGATCCCTACAGGACCAGTGGTGTGAGTGGCGATACAGGGAGGGTAGGGGGAGAGTGGGTAGGAAAGAGGGAACC